ATTAAATTTAGTATGTGTTACTAGTAAAAATATTGTATGGGGGAAAATTCTCTAACGTCCGATATGTCGCGTCCGTTACCAGATTTTAATTCAAAATTAAATCAACAACAAATCGCTTCTGATCAAAAATTAGTTGGTTGTAACGGTCCATTATTTGACTTTATTTAAAGAATGTTTAATAAAGGAAAACCTTACAGGATTTGCTGAGTTTTGTTTATTTTTACATGTACTCTGAAATCACTTCTGTTTTTGTCGCGTCCGTTATGCGCTCCTTTTCATCGATTTTCTCGACTTCAGTGTTCCAAGCGTACCTATTTTTTTGTCAACCAAAGGACGGTATAAAAGGTAGGTTAGGTTAGGTTGTTGTGGCAGATCCCGGACCGGGGGACTCACTTAGACATTAATTAGATTGTCCATTCTGTTACCACATTACACAAGTTCTTTGAACTGCAACTAAGATATTCTGTGTTAGAAACTTAGAGAAGCGCTGGGTACTCAGAACAAGGTTCCGCAGGCAGCTGATGTTCACTCCGGATAGCTTTTCAGGAGCGTTGAAGAAATGAGCACCAAGGTACTCAAATCTTAGACTTGCGAATGCCGGGCAACTGAGAGGAAGTGCTGAGGTGATTCCACCTCATCTTCCAAACAGCTGTGGCAGTAGGGATCTCTGACGATGTTAAGTCGAACCGCGTGGATCCCTAAAGCACAATGTCCGGTCAGTACACCTGTGAGAATCGAGAGGTGGCGCTTAGGCAGCTGCAGAAGCTTCCTTGATCGTCCGCGGTCGACAACCGGCCAGAAGGACCTTGCAACTTTGCATGTCGGGATTTTCGCCCAGCGCTCGCTGTGCCGACTGTGCGCCCATCTGTCTAGAAGCAGGCCAGAGGTTGCCAATGGAACTCCTACGCCGTCCCTAACCGAGGTTATGGCCTCGAGGATTCCCTGCCTAGCCAATTCATCAGCCCTGCAATTTCCAGTTATGTCACTGTGTCCCGGTATCCAAGTCAGCTTGATTTGGAAGTATTCCGAGGCACTTCAGAGAGAGATCAGGCATTCCTCGACTCTTTTCGATCGTACTATAAGCGATCCCAGCGCTTTGATAGCCGCTTGGCTATCAGATTAGATATTTACCATCCTAGTTAGCAAGAGGTTGGTGCGTAGCCAATCGGCTGCCTGTTTTATAGCGGCCACCTCTATTTGAAAGATGCTACAGAAGTACAACAGTCTGAACATAAGATCTATCGAGAGTTCCCGACAGTAGACCCCTCCTCCGACTCTCCCGTCCAGCTTGATTCGTCCATGAATATGTTTATTGGACCTCTATTCCAGAGACTGCCATTCTCCCATTCGCTCCTTGGAGGAATGTGTGTGGAGAAGGATCCGTTTGGGGCC